AAAAAGATGAATGAATGGATGGATGGATGGATGGATGGATGGATGAAGGGGAGCATATTCAAGGGGGAGGGGTGAGGGGGTGAAAGATAGAAAGATGGGAGAGCGGATGGTTGGATGGATGGATAGCTGGATAAGAAGATTAGAAGGATGGAATTGGAGTCCTTGGAGGGGGGGAGGGTGATGGATAGAATGAATAAAAGGAAGGTGGATAGATGGATGGACAAAAGGTTAAGGGGCGGGGGGGGGAATACTTGGAGGTGATGGTGAGGATAATTGTCAGGAATTGTGGATAGACATGAAATTTGGAGGGGGGGCGGGAGGGGGTGATGGATTGAAATGGGTGGATGGATGGATGGAAGGGTAGACATAAAAGTTGGAAGGAACAGGGGGAGAGGGTGTGATGGACGGAAAAGAGATAAAAGGATGGGTGGACAGAGGGATGGATAGACAAGGAAATTGGAGAGCAATGGGGTGGAACGAATGAGGAAGTGGTGTACAAGAGAGTAGGAATGGTGCGGGGAAGAATAAGATGATTAGGGGAAGATTGGAGGGATGTATGGATGGATAGATAGAATGGGCGCAGGTAAGAACGATGGAAAGAAAGAAGGACAGTTGGAAGATAGGACCTGTAGGAGGAAGAAGAAAGGATGGACAGACGAGAGGGGTATTGAGAGGGAAAAGGATTCAATAATGAATAAATAAACGGATAAAAGAGATGTTAAGAGGAAGAAAGAAAGATGGCTGAACGAGAAAGGTGTTGAGAGGAAGAGGGAAAGATGGACAGACGGACGAGAAGGGGTGCAGTAAGAAGAAGGACGGAAGGATGAGCAAGAAGATTTGTGAGTGAAGAAAAGATGCAGGGATGGGTGGGTGGATGGACGCATGAAATGGATAACGGGTGGAAGAGGGAAGGACGGACAAAATGAATGAGATAATCAAAGGTACGTGGAGGGATTACAGGTGCACAGGAGAGAAAGACCGGTGAAAGCGTGGGTGGAATGAGGGAAGGACCAAGAAGGGCGGGTGAATGGAAATACGTGCTGGAAATGGAAAATGTGTGTGTGGGGAGGTGAGTAAGAGTAAGAGAGAGGGAAGAGAGAGGGAGAGAGGGAGAGAGAGGTAGGGAGAGAGAGGTAGAGAGAGAGAGAGAGAGAGAGAAATAGAGAAAGCGAGAGAAGATAGTGCGCGTGAGAGAGAGAGAGAGTGTGTGTGTGGG